GTTGTAGATTTTGTGTAGGACTACAACTTTCATGTTGGAAGTTTTGTTTGAATCCAATTGCATCATGGTGAAAATGTTGGGCAAAGTTGGGAAAAAATAAGAAAATTTCATAACTTAGAAAAATTCTAAGTTATGAAATTTTTCAATCTTAAACCCTAATTTGCAAAATTAGGTTTCTTGATGAACAATTTTCATGTTTTGACACATCTTGATGAAAAATAACCTTTGGCACTTGATTTTGACCAAAAAGTCAAAGTTTGACTTTTCAGTGTAAAGTTGATTTTTGATCAGTTGACTGGAAAATTCATCTGTCAATCCTATGCATTTGAGATCTTTTGAACCTTGTGAATAGGTCAAGATGATTCCATTGAGTCCTTGAATCCATGTTCCATTGAGTCCTTGAATCCATGCTTGAACCCAATTTGCCATTTGCTAGGTGAAAAATCAAAAATTTCCCTTTTGCAGTCAAAACCCTAAAAATGACCATTTTGTCCTTTTGATGATCTGATCAAATTTCTTGAGGAGTTGTGGTCCAAACTTGATCAAATGGTTCATATGAGTCTATAATGTTCATGTGGATAAAAAGTTATGAGGTTTGACTGTAAATTGGCCACAATTGACTTTTTTCCCAATACAACTGATTTCTAGGTCAACTGTCCAATTGACTGGGCAAAATTTTGATTCAGGGCTTGAAACTTGGCATGAGAAATCTTGTAAGTCCAACATGAAGTATGAAAGTCACTTTGAGCATTGAAAGTCAAAAAATTCCTGTGCAAACTCAAACCCTAATTTCAGGTCATCAGTGCAAGGAGATATCTTGAGCAAAGCAAACCCTAGCTTGGTCTTGAGTCTAAAGAATCTTGTGAGGGGAAATCTTGATAAAATGAGAGGGCAAATTTTGGGGTACAACACCGTCCAAAAACAAACCCTACAACACATAAAGTAAGACAGGAATTGTAATTTACGAAATGTAAAAAAAGCCTAGAAACCGAAATTAGCATAAAGTTGAAATAACTTACCAACCAGCCCAAGCTAGAAAGAGCTCAACACCCAAATCAGGTGTATTTGTGCAGAAATTGTAGAGATACGTATACATTATAATAGTCGGTTCCGCAACTCTTAAAATCAACAAAGGTTGGCCACCTATAATCGAGTGGATAATTCCACAAATAGCAGTAGATGCTAATGTTTTGACCGTGCTCAAGCTTCCATTTGTATCCCTACTAAGTTGCTCAACAGGAAGTGCAGAAGCAAAGAATATGTAGAAAGATGGAGCCAATATGTTGTCATTATCCATAAACCAAATTCAGAAACATAGATCAATAAAAAATGTTGCTAATAAATCGAACACATAACTAAATTACAAAATTCCTAGTCCTAGACACTATGAAATCGAACAAGAACGAGCGAAGGAATGCGTTATCTAACACCATAAGAGTTTGCACAAACCCAATCTTGCTTATAGCATTTAACTCTTCCTTTAACATCTTGAATAATTCTCTCGAACGGGCCCCCATGTTAATTTCCTCGAACGGGTCCCCCATCTTGTATATTATGCAGAGATGATTATTAGATACACAACAATGAACCAATTAATTCCAGAAAATGTAACAAATACTTCCAAGGTAGGTCTTCAATTTACTTTTTAAAAAAAATCATGCGATTAGACTATAACAAATACTTCTAAGCTAGGTCTTCATTTTACTATTAAAAAAATTCACATGATTTATATTTATAATTATTCAATTAACAACCAACATTATTTTAAATATAATTTTTAGTGTTATTTACAAAGTCATATTTTCTATAATAATTTATACATATCACTGGTTCCTTAAATATTTTTATGATATTTTATGCATCAGAGTAAGAAATAATGGCTTCAACAAAGGCCATAATCCAATTCGGGATCTTAAACCACCGCACCTCCGCCATCAAGTCGCTCAACACATCTTTCTCTCTCTTCCCACCGTGAAGTTTCTTCCCCCGGAAGAGCGCGCCGATTTACTGGTGTTGTATCCCAAAATTTTCCTTCTCTTTCTCAAGATATTTCTCACAAAGGATCTTCAATGTTCAAGGATTCTCAAGGAATTGATCAGACAAAATCATCTCTGAAGCACTAAGGCTCCAAATTAGGGTTTTGACTGAGAGTGACAAATTTTTGACTTTTGACCCAGTACATGACTTATTAGTTTGAAACATGATCTAAAGGGTTCAAGTACATCATTTGACTTAATCACATATTTCAATTCATCTCTCAAGATCAGTGAATTGATAGACGAAATTTGATCAACCGATGAAAAAGTCAATTGTACACTGAAAAGTCAAACTTTGACTTTTTGATCAAATTTGAGTTTCAAAGATCGCATTTCATCAAGACATTCAAAATATGAAACTTGATAATCAAGAAAGTCAAAAAAATCAAACTGTGCAAGACTTGGAAAATTTTCTAAGTATTTTCTATACATGTTAATTTCATAACTTTCAAGTAAACAACAAGGTTGCATTTTTAAGTTAAAAATTGTAAGTTGCAAATCCTAAACTTTGTCTTATTTGAACTTTTCCCTTGGACTCAATCTTCTAACTTTGCCACTATGCTATCCACAAATATGCCTTGTCTTTATTACAAGCTGCATAAATCTGTCCATAAAACCAAACTTGTATCATGCTACAAATGTTGTTGTCCAGGAAAGTCCCAACACAGATATGCTGCCAAGTCCAAGCCTGCTATTACTAGCCCAAAACAATGTCAAAAAAACAGTCTGCTACCCTGTACAAAGCCAACTCTGCACCAACCTGCCACTCCACTCCAAAACTGCTACAAAACATTCTTGTTATGCTACCTCTAATCATGTCCAAGCTTGTACTATATCAGTCCCATATTTGCACAAAATTAGCACATAAGAGCTGCATCTAAAAAGAAATGAAACAGTATATCCAAACAGTTCAAAAATTCATCTATTTCCCTCCCAAATTTCAGTCTATTTCATCTATAAATAAGTTGTTTCACAACACACAAAGGAGGGGTTTTTTAGAGAAGAGTTTTTGGAGGTCTTGAGAGCGGCTTTTGTTGAAAGAGAAAGAGAAAGAAATCTGAAAAATCTAATAGAACTTTTTGTAACCTCTGCTCATATTCAGCTCTATCTTCATTCATAAAAACAAAACCTCAAACCATTGTTCCACCTTGCAAGCTTTCCCATAAATCAACTATCCAAACACTTCACATCACATAGAGATTGTTTAAATACAATAATAGTTTTTATAGTGCCATTATCATCATCTTCCAAACAAATAAAAAAACAGTATTGTATAACTTAACTGATTCAGCAGCTTTCAATACAAAGTAAGGGTTGGAATAGCTTCCTAGAGGTTCACTGAAGCCATTCTGATCATCATAACATCTTGAAAAGTATCCAGATTCAAAACACAAATTGCAGTCTCAAGGTAAGTCTTCTTGACCTCGAATTTTTTTCTTCATACACGATCATTATTGGTTCACTTGTGAAGATAGAATGTAGTAATCATTACCCTTGAAGCTAACCATTTGCTTGATTTTCATTTTTGTCGATCATATGTTGAGAACTGACCTGTACACACAATAGAACAATGTTAGAGGCAAAAAACGGCAGCATGAGTCGATGCATACTCACATGAGTCGACTCATATTAGTTGCAGAAAAGGGTATGAGTCGATACAAATCCTTATGCATCGATGTATACTATTATCCAGGAACAATACAGAGAGACAAAAGGTGTATGATTCGATACAAAACTCGAATGTGTAGACACAAACAAGAAATGAGTCGACACATACCATTATGTATCGACTCATACTGAATTGATTTTGTTTTTCAGAAACAAGTAGTGGCATGTATCGATGCAAGAAGATATGTGTCAATACATAAAGTTTGTTTTGCTTTCTTTGTACACTATTTTCCTTTTTATATTTTTTTATTGTTATTCATTTATTCAATATGGTTGTAATAATTTAATTAGGCTTGTATTTCATCCCCATTTGTAAATTGTACCCCCATCCCCCAAGTGATGTAATAGCGTAGGATTTTAATTTCCGCAATTTATTGCTTTAATATAGTTGTTAGTAATTAGGGTGTGTGTGGAAAGTTAAAAACAACCGTTAGAAAACCCTAATCTTAAAGACAAAAATGCATGCAATCAAACACACTTTTCAAACGCGCACCTCTAGGGTAACCTCGCTTGTTGCCTCGGAAAATAGTCACGTCCCTCGAATGTGGGACGCTTTAGCAAAGACCCTCGATAAAAAAGGATTATAGTCCCTCGATGACCCTTCGATGTTGCCTTCGGTAAAACGATCTTAGTCTCTCACGACAATTGCTAAAGCGTCTCATAGGTTACCTTCTATGACTATACAACGACCCACGCCCATCCCTTTGCATCCAATGATAGGGCTTCTTATCAATCAATTGTAAGATAGAAATATCTAAAGGAGGAGGAAAAGAACTAAGGACCTTTTGAGTACGTAGAACATTCATAGTTGCTTGCTCACAACATTCTCAAAACAACATCTTTCAAAACACACCAACACTTTCAAAACGAAATATTTTCAAAAGTCAACACTTTGTATACATTCTTATAGAGACGAGAATCATTACAAAGTTCGCCTAAACGATGACACTTTTCAAAAATACTTTCAAAACCCACCACAAGCACATTTCAAACAAAGAATTTTCAAAGTGAGCTAGCAACTAAGAGCCCGTAGATAACTACAGATGAAAAGGGTGTTAATACCTTCCCTTTTCATAACCTACCCCCCGAATTCAAGAAAATTCTCAAAAAGGTATTTCCTGATCTTTTCACCCTTTCCTTTATTGGATAAAAGAAAATTTGGTGGCGACTCTTGCTATCCGCAACAATTGCGATAAAACATAAAACACCCAAGTCAGTTCTTCCACCGTATTACAACTGGTGTTTAGGGTCGAGATGAAATTGAGGTTGAATCGGAAGCGGAAAGTTGAATCGGCGATGGAGGATGTTGAAGAAGCGGTTAGAGTGAGTGGTGAAGAAAGTGATAACTCGGAAGCATTGTGTTTGTTGGGAAGATGTTACGAATGGAAAGAGATGAGATGTGAGTTAGCGAATTACCTCGAAAAGAGTTAACACCGGAGTACGAATATGCACTGACAAGGGAAGGAGTGGGACGAAGGAGAGATGGGTGGTTCGGTAGGAGGGAGACGCGCCAACATAAAGGAGTGGGACGGAGGCGAGATGTTCATGAGAGAGATGAAGACAGGAAACAGGTTTGTCTTGGAAGCGAAAACAAAAAGAAGTGATATGAGTTTGTAAGACAGATTATGGTTTTATTTTTAATTGGCATCTCACATCAGTGCAAGTCCTGACCCAATTTAAAATCCTTTATAATAAAATTTCATTTTATTTTCCAAACTACCACTGCATTTTTTTAACATCGGTCTAAATCTATACCTGATGTAAAATCATTTATAACAAAATTTTATTTTATTTACTAAACTGCCACTGCATTTTGTTCACATCGGCCAAAATCCAGACCCAATGTAAAATCCTTTATAACAATTTTATTTTATTTACCAAACTGCCACCACATTTTTTTCACATTGGTGCAAATACAAACCCGATGTAGAATCATTTAATCAAATATCTTATTTTTAGCAGTGCTCTTTTAAACAAGATTACAAGTGTTACAAAATAACAAATAATCTCTCTCACCCTACATTGTACAATGATAAGAGACTAGTATACTATTTATAAGAAAACTAACACACTAAACTAGTGAGATTTTATACACAGGCCCATTACACAAACTAACTTAAGGAACAAGATAACTTAAACAATTAGGCTTAATAAACGGGCCTAATTTGACATGCTAACTGTAATACGGTGAGAGAACTGACTTGGGATGTTTTGCAATTGATTGCAAATGTTGCGGTTAGCAAGAGTCGCCACCGGCTTTTCTTTTATCCAAAAGGAAAGGTGGAAAAGAACAGGAAATACCTTTTAGATTATTTCTTGAGTTCGGGGGGTAGATTATGAAAAGGGAAGGTATTAGCACCTTTTCATCCATAGTTATTATGGGATCTTAGTTACTTGCTAGATCACTTGATTTTGTTTAAAAATGTACTTTGTGGTGTTTTTTTAAAAGTATTTTGAAAAGGCGCCTTTGTTTAGGCAAACTTTATAATGGTTCTCGTTCGTAAGAACGTATACAAAGTGTTGAACTTTTTAAAAATATTTCATGTTTGAAAAGTGTTTGATTGTTTTGAAAATGAGCAAGGATTTTTGTTTTGAAAATGAAAGTTTGCAAAACCTTCTTTCAAAATGAAAAATGTTGTTTCTACCTCTAGACTATTAGAACTTCTGCATATAGATCTATTTGGACCAGTGAAAACTGCATCCATTAGTGGCAATAAGTATGGATTAGTGATCATAGATGACTATAGCAGATGGACATGGGTAAAGTTCTTAAGACACAAAGACGAGTCACATTATGTGTTCTTTGCTTTCTGTAACCAAGTCCAAAATGAAAAAGATCTTAGAATTGTTAAAGTCAGAAGTGATCATGGTGGGGAATTTGAAAACAAAAAATTTGAATTATTTTTTAATGAGAATGGAATCTCTCATGATTTCTCTTGTCCTAGAAATCCTCAACAAAATGGAGTTGTAGAACGAAAAATAGAATCTTACAAGAAATGGCCAGAACTATGATCAACGAGACTAACATTGCTAAGAACTTCTGGGCAGAAGTAATTAACACATCTTGTTATATTCATAATAGAATCTCCATAAGACCCATTCTGGATAAGACTCCATATGAACTGTGGAAGAACATAAAGCCCAACATTTCTTATTTTCATCCATTCGGATGTACTTGTTTCATTCTAAACAATAAAGAACATCTGAACAAGTTTGACTCTAAAGCACAAAAGTGTCTCATGTTAGGATACTCTGAATGTTAAAAAGGTTATAGAGTATATAACACAGAAACACATATTGTGGAAGAGTCTATCAGTGTCAGATTTGATGATAAGCTTGGCTCTAAAAAGTCAAAGCAGGGTAAATTTTTTGCAGATATAGAAGTTCAATTTATAGGTACTAAAGACACTGCATCAGAAGTTGCTCACAAAGAATCACAATCAACTCTAGAAGAAGTTGTCACAAACATTACAATAACATCTGAAGAGCCTCTCCAGAAAAGACAATCCATAAGCAGTTTAGCTCATCCGGAAAACAAGATTTGGGAAATAAAGAAGACCTTATCAGAACAAGATCTACATTCAGAAATTTTGAAGAATCTCTCATGGGATTAATGCCTCTGATTGAGCCAACTTCCATTGACGAAGCCCTTCTGGACAATGATTGGATACTTGCAATGCAGGAAGAATTAAACCAGTTCATCAAAAATGATGTGTGGGATCTAGTTCCTAAACCAAAAGGGTTTAACATCATTGGAAATGTTTTAGAATGGGCCTGCCCTTGGCCCAACTACCAGTGAGGCCCAATCCAAGCTTACCAACCTACTGCGCTGAGCAGTATTTCCCCCGAGAACATCCCGACCACAAATGTCTTATCGACCAAGACTGCTTCCTGTTGGTGCTTACAGAGACCATCTCCAACGAGCATGCGCTCCTCTCGAGCACCTTCCTCGTAGGACTGACTTCCAACCTCTCCGGATTTTGCGGAGTCTTCATGGTCCCGGAAATATCGCGTACCTATCCTCCCTGTCTTGTAGAGGACGTTATCCAGGTAGGGGACCACGTGCGAGTCCCCACTACACACATAGAACCTGGCACTCTCTTTGTTGAGCCTGTTTGATTAGCCCAATAAAGAGACCTTGGCCCAGCACTGAGGGCTATAAATACCCTCTCTTCCAAGAGGGTCAGGTATTTAACTCATATCTCAGAACTCATACTTGCTTGCTCATTCCGCTTCTTACTTTTCCATCATAGTGTCTTGCAAGTACCCCCCCCCCCCCTCATCTCATTTAACTTCTGCTCGAGCCAGTTGTGACAGTCCATCTCTGATCCGGTAAGATCAGTGGCACCGTCTATGGGAACCCTGCTTCCCCGTCTTCTATTCACTTGAGACTAAAGCTAAACAATTCGACTGTCATGGTTGACCAGACTCCAGACAACATGAACGTCCATGTCATCGATGTTAACAACAACACCGCCAACAATAATGTCAACCTCGATAACATCGGTACCGTCAGCTATAACACAGCCCCCAGCGTCAACATGCCCGGGCCTTCTGAATACAGAGACGGAGCAACTGCTTTGTCATCATCTTTGCCTCGCTAACATGAAGACGATAGGCCACCTCCCCAGAACTTCCAACACGCCCAGTTCCACGAGGTCCCCATCCCCGTCAGGGCAGACGCCACGGCCAGGGCACTGTTCGCGGCAAACAATCAAACCAACTACCTAATCTTCGCCCAGGGGGAAAGACTGAGGGCGCTCGAGGACGATCGGAGGCCCCCAAGAAAACACAGTAGACCTCAATCTCCACCTTCTCGACAAGCATAGGAACATCCCTAATCTCCTCCGCGGAGACATAATCGGGATATATCTCGAAGCCCATCACGCCGACCACTCAGGCGATGACCCCCTTTGGAGAGGGCACAACTTGTTGATGCGGGAAGGCGCAATCACGGCCCCTTGCGTCAAGAACGAAGACTCCCTGGAGACAGGAACGGGGGAAACCACCAACGATCATATCACCCAAGGACTGCCCCGTGCGAACAGGGCCACCGTGACCGCCACGACATCAGATCTGTCTCGCTCGCCCGAATGGAGTGATGAGGATGACCCCCGCGGTCCCTTGTCACAAGCTATCATGGAGGCGCCCATTCCTCCGGGAATGGAAAAGCCTCCCCACCTGAAGGAATATGACGGCATCTCCGACCCGGTCGACCATATAGACGGGTTTGAGACCATGTTGCACTATCACAACATCAGGGGACCAATCAAATGTCGGTTGTTCCCCACGACTCTAAGGAAAGTTGCCATGGAATGATACAAAGGTCTCACCCCAGGGTCAATTATCTCTTAGTGAAATCTGAAAAAACCAATTCATTAGCTCGTTCACTGCTTCGCAGCGACATCTAAAGACCAGAGCAGCCCTCGAGGCCATCATCTAGAGACATGATGAGACCCTGAGGGAATTCATTGACCGGTTCAACCGAGAGGCCATCCAGGTCCCCTGCATGGACCAGATGAAAAGATACCTGCTCGAGAGGGGGCTCCTCCCGGGTACTGAATTCAGGAAATCCGTAGGAATCGAATCACCCCGGACATTCGATGCCCTCCTCGAGAAGGCCAGAGCTTATATGGACTACGAGGAAAGAAAAGCGGCCAACAGAGCCCGAGATCCCAGGAATCGCGGATCTACCAGTAATTCGCAATAAGGCACTGCCCCTCCTCGATGAAATGGCGAGAAGAGAAGGGACGACAAACCCCGAGACGCCCGGGAACAAAGGGGGGCCCTCAGGGAGGTTCATTGAATACACTCTGCTAATGGCTTCCCGCAAGCGCATCTTAGCGGAGTGTGCAAATACAGACTTCAAGGACGGCAGCGTCAAGCATCCTCGCCCCGCTCCTACTAAACTTGGGGTAGACCGGAGCAAATACTGCCAGTATCACTGGAGCTACGGGCACTTGACCGAAGACTGCGTCCACCTCAAGGACGCCATCGAGACCCTCATAAAGGGGGAAGACTCGCGCAATATTGGTGAAGTGACGCTCCTCGTCGGGGTACCCGTGAGACGAAGGAAGTAGAAGAGGATGCCCGACCATCTGAAGAGCCAGTTCCCATCCAAAACGCGTTTTCTGTCACAAGACCTGAGGACTTCTACATCCCTGAACATCTGCAAGAGCCTCTGTCTATGCACAACATGTGGGAAAACTTCCCCTCTTCCATGGTCATCAATAGTGGAGGGTTTAATGATTTTACCATAAATTCAGCAAAGAGAAAGCTGGACGAACTGGTCGACGCGGCTCCCGCATAAATGGTGACCTTCGAAAGAGTGAAAGGCAGATCAGAGCCGATCAACTTTTACCTCGGGGAGCTTCCCGGAGGGGCACCTAATTCAATCATCCCTCTTCTGATAAGGGCGAGAATGGCCAACTTCGACGTAGATCACGTCCTGGTTGACGAGGGAAGTTCCGTCGACGTGATGTACAACCAGCTGTTTAGAACCCTGCAGCTCGATGACTCTCACCTTTCACCATATGTGGGGTCAGACCTGCAGGGCTTTAATGGCTCGACCTCCAAGCCGTTGGGGGTATGTGGAGCTTATGGTCACATTCGACGAG